CCCCCATTCCAACCCCTTCCCCCCAATGTCCCCGCCCCAACTCCGCCCCCTCCCTGCCCCTATTGGACCCGCCGCGTTCTACCCTCCTCCCCCACCCATCCCTGCCACACGAAACAGTTGTTTTGCGGTGCAAGCACTGGGAGCTGGGGGGGAAAGTGAGCACGCGGTGTGCTCCCAGAAGAGGCAGAGCAGAGGTGAGCTGGAGTGGGGTGGGGTGGGGCGGAGCAGGGAGCTGCCAGTGCGTGCAGAGCACCCACCAATTTTTCTCTGTGGGTGCTCCAACCCTGGAGCACCCAGAAAGTCGCCACCTATGCTCCCCCCCACACTTGAGGATGCTGAGAAGGTGTTGGGTAAAGGACAAAGCTCCCTGCAGCTCCTAATCTCCCTCCAACCCCAGAATTCTGAGCCGGCTTACGTTACCCCAGAGTCCAGAATGCAGATTCAGCTGCAGATATACTATGAATTATCCACTCCTCTGACAGTCTGGATGCCTCAGGAGATCAGAGATGGAATATGGGCCATTCACCTACTTGCCTTTACCAGTTAAGGTAGCACAGACTACTTAGTAAGCAAACATCTAGCTGCCTACCAATATCTACCTAGGGGTGTTGTCGGCCGCCCATCAACAGAGTAACATCTGGGTCAATGGTTGCAAAACTCCACCTAGGTCAGTAATGGTGTGAAGTCATTTCCATCTGAGGACTGTTCAGTGCCCGGTTCATCCTTTCTATTAAGCAGTCTGCATGCTCAGGTTGTGCCTGTCGATTTGGTGCATGTCCCAGTGAACTTAAAATGTGCCACGAGACAAGGGTGTCGTATTTATGCACATAAATTCACGACTCCCCACTCCACCTCCTTCCGGGATGGGCAGGCTTCCCCATTGCAAAACCCCTTCGTGCCCCCATTGTCAACAATTTCAGCAAAGGGGCCAATGACTGAACGGAGCTGGAATGGTCCTGTCACTTTTTTTTAAGAATTTCTTTGAAATTTTGAAATTTCGGATTAAAAAAAAGGGATTTTAAATCAAAAAAGTCTGATCATTCTTTCTCCCCCACTACATTTTTATTGTTGTTGAAATCAGTTAACAATGACTAACAACAGGCCATTTTTCTCCCTAGGTATGAGACGGGGAAGTCTCAGAGTCCACCATCCCTTCCTCTGGAACTGAAAAGGAGAGTCAAGGAATTCTCTCAGAAGCACACATTTCTGGAGCACACTCTGAGTAAATTTAAAGGTAACAAACTCTGGGGCTGTTCTTGGCTATGATTAAAATATTGATTTACTCGTATAGGGATCAAAGCCCCATTGCCATAGATGTTGTACACACATATAATGAAAAGATGTCTCCAGAGAGCTCAGAGTCTTGTCACTAGCTTACAGGTTATGCATGGTCCGCCTTATAGAAACCCATGAGAACCATGGCCACCAGTTTGGGTCACTTATCTTTCCTGCCATATTTACAAAGGGATAATAACTTTCCTATCTCACCAGGGGCAAAGGGAAGGAGGTGATGCTTAAGATAAATTTTCCAAGGATTTTTTTCCTATGGGAGTTAGGTACCCAATCCCAATGGGCGACAGGCACCCAGTTCCCCTACACCACTTTGAAAATTGAAGCCCAAGTAGCTAGTGGCTTGCAAAACACTGTACAGATACCAAAATTCATTAGATTGTGGAGCCTGGTAGCCCCATGTACCCCAGCTTATCTGGATGATTTCCCCTTGCAAAGCAATTATATGTTGGCAATAATGCTCAGATCCATCCCAGCATAGGCAACTAGGGAGCAGAGCAGGGCCAGATATAGTTGTTATTTTTTTTCTACCCCTCTCCTCAAGGAAATTTTCAACAAAACCAAAAATGTTTGCAGTAACATTTTCCCTGAAAAAAAAAAAAGATTTTTCATACCTTCCCCACCTCAAAAAATCAAACAAAAAATATTTCAGTCAAATAACTAAATATTTAAATTTGGAAATATTGCTGCAATGTTTCATGGGAGCTGTAGTTTAGGGGTGCCACAGGCTCCCATTCTCCTCTATGGCCTGGGCTCCCTGATTGGACTACATTTCCCATGATCCACCACAGTCTCCTCCTGAGGAAGGTATGCTAGGCATCATGGAGTCCCCGACTGTGGTGCATCCTGGGTGATGTAGTCCAGTTCAAGAACCTGTCCCATAAAGGAGAACGGGAACATGAGCAAACCAAATTACAATTCCCATGAGACACCAGGGCAGCATTTTTGGCCAAAATCTTTTCAGTTTTCAGATGTTCAGATGTCAACAAATAAATTGAACATTTCTGTGGAAGGTTGCCACTTTTTGTGAAAAATTTCCATTTAGTCGAAAATCCAATGTTTCTGTTGAAAAGTAGTTTTGGATGGAAAAATTTTGACCAGCCTTAGTGGGGGGGAGAGTGAGAAGGGGGGAGTATGCTGTGTGCTGCTAGTTGCTGCTAGAGGGAGAATATGTCTCTGACTTTGAGAGGAGATGCTAGTTCTGTGTGCTCGGTGTGTAGCAGGCCCTATCTGTTGAGATCAGCCTGGGAAAAGCTCATATAAAACAAGCCACTTCCCAAGGAGGGTGGATCCCTGTGTCTTGAGACCAGGAAGAAGTTTCTGTATCCGTGCAGGAGCTTTGCAAAGCAAAGCAAACTCACTCTGGGTCCAGTTTCCAAAGCCCCGGGCCTGCTGCCTTGGCTATAAGGGGTTTTTCCACTTTGTCCTCTTGTCAGTGTGACCAAGCCAAGCAATGGCAAACGCTGATTCTCACAGCCTGCACCCACAGAGGTCAATGATAATTACCCCAGTGACTCTGAGGACAGAATCGTGCCCTTTGTCGGGACAGCCTCACTTGCCCTCTGCCTACCTGCACGAGCACGGACACGGGCAGCAGGTATCGCAGGCCAGGGAAGGCTAAGCTGTGGTGCTGCCCATGCTCCACCCCGTGACCCCGCCCTTGTGCTCCCCTGAAGACCGCGAGGGCTCTGCTCCAGCTGGCAGCCAGGGGCTGAAGTGGACCGAGGCGGGTCAGGCCAGTGGGGCCAGCGTGGCTGGGTCAGGCAGGCCGGGGCTCCTCTGGCCGTGGGGGGGGTGGCTCAGGGCTCCGGCCACAGGGGGAGGCCTAGGGAGGAAGGGGCGGGGCCGGGAGCTAGCCTCCCCAAAGGGGGGTGGTTCACCCACCGCCCATATGCCCGGGGCAAAGATTTCTGATAGCAAAGGGCTCTTTCATCTAGCAAAGGCAGGATGAGATTCCACGGCTGCAAACTGAAGCGAGACCAAATCAGCCTGGAAATAACGCACGCATTTTTAACAGTGATAATAATTGACCACTGAGGCCATCTACCTATGGACATTGTGGATTCTCCATCGCTTGGAAGTTTTGAAATCAAGACTGGGTGTCTCTTTCCAAAAGATTGTAGCCAGAAATTATTGACTTCATGCAGCATCACTGGGTAAAATTCTCTGACCTGTGTTATGCAGGAGGCCCAACTGCCAATTTTGGTCCCTGCTCCAAAGAGTTTACTAATCTACAGTAGGCATCTCTCCCCAGTCAGAACAACCGAGATTTCACCTCTTCCATGTTTTTTCCCCTTCCTTCTAGAGAGACTGTCATCTGAAACAAAGCTGGACAAAGGTACATTTCTGGAATGGGGAATCTCTAATGGGGAATCTTGTTTCAGTTGAGCTGACTCAGGGCAAGCGGATGAGGGGAACTTTCCTATAATGATGAAGTTGTATACGTGTATGCTCCATAGGCGCTCTGACTCTGTGGGTGCTCTGGGGCTGGAGCACCCATGGAAAAAAAATAGTGGGTGCTCAGCAGCCCCGTGATTGGCCCATGTCCTTCCCCCCAGAGCCTCCTTCCCACCGCAGATCAGCTGTTAGTGGCGTGCAAGAGGTGCTGGGGAAGGAGTGGGGGGCAGGGCTCTATATCGGGTGGGGGAGGAACAGGGTGGGAAGAGGCAGGGCGGAGGTGGAGTGTGGGCGGGAAGATGTGGGGTGGAGGCTTGGAGGAAGGGGTGGAGTGGGGGCAGAGCTTGGGGCAAAGCAGGGGCCGAACACCCCTTGGCAAATCACAAAGTCGGCACCTGTGTATGGATTTCTGTTTACTGATCATCTTTCTCCCACTCGATGAGAAATGGGAGATGGACACAGATTCCCTTTTATTAGTAGTATTACAGTAGCCCATAGAGGCCCCACCCAAGAACAAGGGCCCCATAATGCTAGGTGCTGTACACACCCTTCATGCCTTGTCCACACTGGGAGCGGTGGTTAGGGTATGTGTAGCTACATGCGGCAGTGAAATGCTCTGGCAGAGGGAAGGCCGCAGGGAAAGGCTCTGGCAGTGGGATATGGAAATGGGATATTTCCAGCCCCCTACCTTTTTTCCCAAAACAACAAAGTTTCACCAAAATCAATAAAAAGTTAAAAAGTTCAATTTACTCAAATGGAATTTTCTGACAGAAAACTATTTCAAGGAAAATTTTCCAACTGGTTCTAGAAGTGACCTTCCCAAGGTCACACAGTAGGTCAGTGGCAGAGATAGAAATAGTACCCTGGATTCTTGACTCTGATCTAGTACCCTTGCCACTAGTTCATGCTGCCTTGCTCTTGGCAGAGGTGCGGGGATCAGTCAAGTCAAGTAATCCTAAATACCATTTAACTTTATTAACATTGTCTGACTAGAAAGAGCTTTGTGGGTTTCTTTGCATTTATGTCTGCCCTTTTGTATATGAAATGAATCTGCAGTTATGTTAGTTAACAACAGAAATATCTTCATAAAGTTGACAGCAGCTACATTTAAAGTGTTTCACTTTTTCTCCCACTAGAGATTCTATCTGGAAAGCAGTTGGACAAAGGTAAATTTTGGGGACGGATGGTGTAATTGAGTACTGTATTATAGCCAGGCAAAACAAAACAAAAAATCCCTTTAAGATGGGGTTAATTTGGGTTAAAAAAACCCAACATTACAGGCATGTTGCAATGATCCCAAAACCAAATATTATAAACCCAGGAAATTCAGAGTTAATCCTAATCCTCCTTCTCTATTTAAAACTTTTTCCCAAACCAACCCCATTTCATTCTCCTCTGTCTAAATCAATGGGTGGGGATTTAGGAGAAGCGGGAGTTTGAAATTCCTCCTGAAAAGGGGACTCTAGTTTTGGGCATTTAAGAAGTGATATAAGATCCTAAAGAGCTAGTCAATACAGGCAGTGAATCACACCGTTTCTCAAATGCCATTCTGCTCTAAGCAAGAAAGCCCCATGAGTTTCCTCCAGGAACTCACGAATTCTCTTAGCTGATCAGATAAATGGACTCTCTAGTCCAGTATCCAGTTGGACCAATGGTCTATCTGGTCCTGTATTCAGTCTCTGATGGAAGTAGCTGGTAGTGGCTACCGAGGAAGGCTACCAACCCTCCTCTACTGTGGAATTTTGGAATAAGATGCCCATAGGCAAAATGACTTCCTGACCCTCCTCAATCAGCAAGTGGTTGAGACATCAGGATTTATATCTCTTGTACATCTCATGGATCAGTAACTGGTTAAAAGATAGGAAACAAAGAGTAGGAATAAATGGTCAGTTTTCACAATGGAGAGAGGTAAATAGTGGCGTCCCCCAGGGGTCCGTACTGGGACCGGTGCTGTACAACATAGTCATAAATGATCTCAAAAAAGGGACAAACAATGAGGTGGCAAAGTTTTCAGATGATACAAAACTACTCAAGATAGTTAAGTCCAAAGCTAACTGCGGAGAGTTATGAAGGGATCTCACAAAACTGGGTGACTGGGCAACAAAATGGCGGATGAACTTTAATGGTGATAAATGCAAAATAATGCGCATTGGAAAACAATCCCAACTATACATGTAAAATGATGGAGTCTCTATTAGCTGTTACCACTCAAGAAAGAGATCTTGGAGTCATTGTGGCTAGGTCTCTGGAAACATCCACTCAATGTGCAGCAACAGTCAAAAAAGCGAACAGAATGCTGGGAATCATTAAGAAAGGGATAAATAATAAGACAGAAAATATCATAATGCCTTTATATAAATCCATGGTACGCGCACACCTTAAATACTGCATGTAGTTCTGATTGCCCCATCTCAAAAGAGATATATCGAAATTGGAAATGGTTCATAAAAGAGCAACAACAATGATGAGGGGGATGGAACAGCTGCCATACAAGGAGACATTAAAAAGACTGGGACAGTTCAGTTTAGAAAAGAGACGACTAAGGAGGGATAGGATAGAGCTCTACAAAATCACGACTGGTGTGGGGGAAGTGAACAGGGAAGTGTTATTTACCCCTTCACATAACACAAGAACTAGGGGTCACCCGATGAAATTAATAACCAGCAGGCTTAAAACAAGCAAAAGGAAGTACTTCTTCAGACAATGCACAGTCAACCTGTGGGACTCATTGCCAGGGGATGTTGTGAAGGCCAAAAGTAAAACTGGGTTCAAAAAGAATGAGATAAATTCCTGGAGGACACAGGTCCATCAATGGCTGTTAGCCAAGATGGTCAGGAATGCAAACCATATGCCCTGGGTGTCCCTAAGCCTTTGACTGTCAGAAGCTGGGACTGGACATCAGGGTCATTTTTCTGTTCTGTTCATTCCCTCTGAAGCACGTAGCATTGGCCACTGCCAGAAGACAAGATACTGGGCTAGATGGACCATTGGTCTGACCCAGTGTGGACATTCTTATGTTCTTATGAACATTTTTTAGTGAGAGAGGTGAGGCCTTGCACTCAATGGCATTTCTCTGACTGTAATGTGATAAATTTTGAAGACCGTGTCCAATCAATTTTAAAATTTCACGGAACCTTCCAGGCGTCGATGGGAAGAACCCTGTTGAGTTTGATGACAGTCAAAAAACCCAGACACCAGAAAATCCTGATTTCCACTCAGTGCCCATTTGGTACAGCATTGTGACATCAGAAGTATTTCAGCCAGTCATCATTCACTCCCTACAGTTCCTTTGCAATCCCATTGGTTGAAATGAGTCAGCAAATGATGTCACAATGATACAACTCGGGCTCCTTTGCCAGTAGCATAGGCGCGGACTCCGTGGGTGCTCCGGGGCTGGAAGACCCACGAGGAAAAAGTAGTGGGTGCTCTGCACCCACTGGCAGCCAAGCTCCCCGCCCCACCCCCTGCCTCACCTCCGCCTCCACCTCCTCCCCTGAACGCGCCACGTCCCTGCTCCTCCGCCTACCTGCCAGCGCTTGCCGCCGCCAAACAGCTGTAGCAAGCTCCGGGAGGGAGGGGGGAGGAGCGGGAACGTGGCTCGCTCAGGGGAGGAGGTGGGGAACAGGCAGGGCCGGGGCAGGGATTTGGGGAAGAAGTCGGAATAGGGGCAGGGAGGGAGCGGAGTTGGGGCAAGGACTTTGGGGAAGGAGTTGGAATGGGGGCGGGGTGGGGTGAAGTCGGGGCGGGGCCGGGGACAGAGGAGGGTTGAACACCCAGCGGCGCTAGTAGAAG